GTACTACAAGTACTACAAGTACTACATGTACTACAAGTACTACATGTACTACAAGTACTACAAGTACTACATGTACTACAAGTACTACAAGTACTACAAGTACTACAAGTACTACAAGTACCACAAGTACTACAAGTACTACAAGTACTACAAGTACTACAAGTACTACAAGTACTGCAAGTACTACAAGTACTACAAGTACTACATGTGCTACAAGTACTACAAGTACTACAAGTACTACAAGTACTACAAGTACTACAAGTACTACAAGTACTACAAGTACTACAAGTACTACAAGTACTACAAGTACTACAAGTACTACAAGTACTACAAGTACTACAAGTACTACATGTACTACAAGTACTACATGTACTACAAGTACTACAAGTACTACAAGTACTACAAGTACTACAAGTACTACAAGTACTACAAGTACTACAATTACTACAAGTACTACAAGTGCTACAAGTACTACATGTACTACAAGTACTACAAGTACTACAAGTACTACGAGTACTACAAGTACTACAAGTACTACATGTACTACAAGTACTACAAGTCTACAAGTACTACAAATACCACAACTTCATCGGCAAAAAAAACAATCTTAATTAGATTTCAATTGTAGCCAAGTGAAATCCTTACTTAATCGAGGATATGCTTTTCTTTTGGGAAGAATTTTTTTGCTTTTCTACTTTAAAGAGTCCAGATATAGTTTAGGGGAGGGGGGGGGGCCACACACTAATCAGGAACCAACATTATGCACACTTGGACTTTACAGGGCTAAGACTTTGGAACAAATTTGAAGCTGAACTCAAAACTTGAGGCCGGGGGTGGATGACGAAAGCTAGCGGGGTAGGAGAAAGAAGGAAGGGAAGAGGTGAGTTGCGGAGGGACTGTCATCATCGTGTCGCGGCATTGTTCGTCCCAACGAGGATGCAACAATGATATATTGATATATGATATATACCGATATATATGGGGGAGGGGGCAGGGGGGGGGCCTTTCGCGGGAAAAATCACGTGATGTCCTTGGGGAGCCCCGGAATACGTGCTAAAACAAGAAGACTCTAGCAAAATGAAGCTAGCTTTCGTGATAATGACAATAATTTCCAATAATGATAAAATGTAATTGAATAACGATGATGATGATGATGATGATGATGAATATGAATGATGAATGATGAATGATGAATGATGAATGATGAATGATGAATGATGAATGATGAATGATGAATGATGATGATGATGATGATGATGATGATGCTGATGATGATGATGATGACGATGATGATGACCGATTTGATGATGATGGTGAATGGTGATGGTGATGGTGGTGGTGGTGGTGATGGTGGTGGGATGGGGGAGGGGGGGGGGAGGGGGGGAAGGGGGGGGAGGTGGGGGGGGGGGGATGGGGGGGAGGGGGGGGAGGGGGGGGCAGGCGGCCCGGTTGTTAGGGGGGGGGAGGCCTTTCGCGTGAAAAATCACGTGATGTCCTTGAGCAGCCCCCCCAATACTTGCTAGAGCAAGAAGACTCCAGCTAGCTGACGCTAGCTTTCGTGATCAAAGATATGGGGTCCAGTACCCAGAAGACTGGCACTTGGGGCCTCCGCAGTGAGGGGTCATGTTGTTGGGCGTTGTTGGGTACTCTTGGGAATATTGCTAAACATGACAGAACGGGCTGGCACTCTCGCATCTTATCAGGGGATTCACCTGCTGCTCTCAAGTTGGGAACAAAATTGCCGGCAACCAGCCTGCATGTGTCTTGCATCCTTGACTCCCTTATAGTTTCGTGCAGTGCAGCACTCTCTAAGCAGATGCATCCACATGTGCGGCAATCAGGGGATGAGCATTCCGAAGCCGCTGGGCCATGTCTTCGGGCAGGTATCCTGCTAGAAGCTTTCGGCACTGAATCTGAAGCCAGTTGTAGCTACTTTTTTCAAGTCCCTTTTTTCCACGGCTTTTTGGGAGGCACCCTGTTGCCGATACAAACCTGCAAAGCTGGTCAAACTTCCGCTCCCATTGGGGCTGCCGGAGTCGCGGTGCATTCTGCCACTTCTGGACCTCAGCTTTGACCAAGGGATGCACCCCTTGCAGCATCTTCATCTTATTGGGACCTGTTCTGATGGTCCCTGCCCGCAAGTATACCATCCATTTTGCCAGGTTCCACGATGAGGATCCAACCTCATGACCAGTCATCTCTGGCATTCTCGAGTGCAACTGCACATACTCTCTGAGCCGGTTGCATGTCTCCTGGAAAAGCCCATCACTGTCACCTGTCTCCCATCCTTTAGCACGGCGACAAATCAAAGGTGAGGATGCCGACGTCAGTTTCTGGAACCTGTGCAACGGCAACCTTTGCTTTCGGAGGGCACAGCACTGGCTGTTGAGCCATGCGCCCAATGCTCTCTCATAGTGAGATTTGTTGCGCTGGTGGCGGCGTGGTAGCCTTCCATGCTGGTCGACAAAGGCTTCCAACTCTCTGAAGCGAATCTCCCAATGGTCATCCCCACATAGAACCACAGAGAGCTTATTGTAGATCTCTGTTGTCCACCCTTCCATCAGCTTTGCATCAGCATCCACCAAAGTGCAGTCTGTTACCTGGATTCTGTGCCCTGCGGTTGCACCGACAATGCGATGATCAGCCATCATCAGCGTGGCCAAGAAGCGTTCCAGTTGGCTACCGAAATGCTGATTGATCTCAGAAGATCGGGTGAAGGCTTTCAATTTGAATCCTTGGTGTCGATTTGTGGGAGCCGTGGCCTGGTTCTGCATGGTTGGCTCTTCATCCATCTCACTTCGCACATGTCCAATTCTAGGCCTGCCAGGTGTAGTTTGATCGCGCGTGCCCGCGCTGAATGTTTGCAAGTCTTGATCTTGAACTTCTTCTTGAGGTGTCTGCGTTTGGTGGTGCCTATGCCCGCTTCCAATAGATCCACAAATCGTTTGATACTGTTCTTGCTGATGATCCGTTGTAGCTGATGGACTCCCTTGATCATAAAAACCACTTCCTGGCCTGCCACGTGTGGTCGGATCACGCGTGCCCGGCTTGTGTCTTTCCAAGTCTTGATCTTGAACTTCTTCTCAAGGGCGGGACGTCACCAGTTCCATCAGCTGGAGAAGGAAATCCAGCACTCAGCCTAACAAGATCTATGCGCACAAAAGGCATCGAGGTCAATGAAAAGAGGTGCTGTCGGAAGTCTGTTTGCTAATGTCTTTAAAGTGGCAAAACTGATACTGCGCATCCACCACACGGTTCATGCTCCAAGTGGTGGACACAACGTCTTCTCGGGACACAGTTCATCTGAAATTCAATTCCCCGCAATTTCCCAGAACGTCCTTCCCACTCCCAGCCTCTTCATCGTACGGTTTGTGATGAGACAATGCTCGGCATTGGAGTTCCGCAGCCACGCTCTGACCTTCTCGGGTAACCAGCGGCTGCTGGTCACCACGGTGCATTTTGGGGCCTGCACGGGCTGGAAAGACACATCACCACATTTGGATTGAGCGTCAGTGCCATGGCAAACAGGAACATGAAGATACTTCAAATGAAACTTCACCTTCAGCCCAAACCCATAGGGAACCCTGGAAGCCACACACAAAGCCCGATAGAACTGCAGGAGAAACTTTCGGAATCACAGCCCTTCACTGGCCACCGGTCACCCTGGCCTTGTAGACCCACCGTGCCATGCGCAGGAAACGTCTCACCTCCCTGAAGGAAACGGATGCGTTCCAGCAGCCAACGGCATGCGAACCGTCCAAGCTCAGCAAGGTTAGGCCTATCGGGCAAATGAAGATGAAGAATCATGATGGAAATGCAAAGATTCAGTCAAGAAAAAGAACATGTCCAAGCAGAGAAGGAGTCAACCGAGAAAAGCCTAAAGCTTCAGTAGAATGGTTGAGGAAACAGTGAAAGAGAAGAAAAACAAGCCTACCATTCCCCACTCAATTTTGGCTAGCCAAGAGTTCTGAGCTGCTATCTTTGCCAAGGTCTTGCCATGCCTGGATATCGCTGTGTGATGTTTTGGCGTTCCCAGAACCAGGGAGGCAACTCCTGTCATCAAACCAGAACCACCCCCACAACAACCCCTCGAGCGAAACATCCGCTGATTATGCTGATTCTGTCACGCTATGTCGAATCATATCAGCCCCATCGACCTAACAGCTCCTGCATGGGCACGGCATTCAGCTCCAGCGCGGCAGCCCACACCAGCCGTTGCCTCTCCCCCAGATGTGGCCAGCTCAACGCTTCGTGCGCCAAGTTCTGCAAGCGCTGCATGAAGGCCTTGTCTCGGTCGTCAAGGCCTGGGCTCACGGAGATTACGGAGAGGAGTCGTTGTTCAGAAAGCGAGGAAAGAGTCAAATGGGATCAGAGGTAAATGAAAACATTATGACGAGATACATGTGTCAAGTTGGCAATACACGGCTGGAATCTGTACACACTTTGTAACAATTCCACATGCATCCAACACCAGAGACCTCTTTTTCGGATGGTGGAACCTGGTTGGGTTGACCTCAGCTGGGATCTGTGCAGCAGCTGGGTCACCTTTGTGCATGGTTCGCACATTATACCCTCCACCACTTTTGGGCGGGTGGGTGTGGAAAACAAACAGGGGTGGATGCTTACCAGGGCACTTGAGCCAAAATGGCACCCATGGTAAGCATCCACCCACCAACCCCTTAGCATGCTGAATTGTTCAGCAGGAAATTCCGGGGCTCCATTTCCTTTCCCAACAATTCCACATGCATCCAACACCAGAGACCTCTTTTTCGGATGGTGGAACCTGGTTGGGTTGACCTCAGCTGGGATCTGTGCGGCAGCTGGGTCACCTTTGTGCATGGTTCGCACATTATACCCTCTTCTGCAACTGCGCGATCTCCATGCACTTTTTGCAGACTTGTCCTCCCTCCTCCGACGCTAGGAACATGTAGTCCGACTTGTGGTAGTGCCAGCCGCACATCGTCTTCCAGGCCAACGGTGGGGTGCAGGCGGTCATGTTCCAGATGGTGCACGATCTTGCTGTCGAGCAACCTGACGAAGGGGGGGAGTCTTCCGTTGTTCTTGTCGGCCCTTTTCTTCATGGACTCGATTTCAAAGTCCATGGCTTTCAGAGCACGATGTTGGTGCTCCTGCGCCAGAGACAATTCCGAGAGGAGGTAATCTCTGACTTCCTCCACATCTCTGGGCTTATAGTTGATGGGCCCCATCTCATTGTGCTCCTTCGTGCCGTAGAGGTTCGTGATGAAGGCTCTGTTGGCGTTGACCGGCAGGCTCTCCAAAGCTTCGGCCGCGTATTCATAGATTACGTCGGACTTCCAACGCCCAAGATAGGCCACCTGAGGGATGGCCCACCCATGTCGGATGTACCGCAGAGCCCCCGTTCTCCTGGTGGAATGCCCCGATGTGCCGCTGCCATACAGCTTCTGCCACTCCTTGACGACTTGGGACTTCTTTGCCTTCATGCCCTTGTTGGTCACGGCGGCGTGGTGCGTTCCTAGGTCCTCCATGCCGAAGACGAGCAAGGCTGACACACGCAGGGGGCAACCTGTGGAGCAATCCTTGCCCTCACATAGACACTGCAGCATCCTGGTCATTGTCAGTCCTGTCTGATCTGTTTTCGACACCGGTATGGTGAGGACTACGCTCCGGCTTTCCACGTCCACCTTCAAGTGGTCCTTCGTCAGCAGGGCTAGTTCAATCTCGCGGAGCATCCAGATCACCCCAAACTCGAACAACTCCCTGGCCAGTGGGACCGTCTTGGGTTTCTTCTTTGTCACTGTCGGGACAAAGGTTTTGCCCGTCTCTTGCACTGGTACTTCCTTGGCCTTCTTCTTGGGTCCCAGGGCTCTTGTTGTGGACCTCTTGCAAAGCTTCAAAGTCCTTTCGAGTTGGTCGGTCCAGCGGTGGCCATCCTCAATCGCCATGATCTTGAACTCTCCCAGGTACTGCGGCGCTGCTCGGTAGCTGGCTTGTTTGAGCACCCCCGCCAGCACCTTCAACTTTTCCGTAGTGGGGGGCCCAGGTGGCTCGCCCCTCGCTTCCTTGAGGATCTTTCCTATAGTCGCCCTCATTGCCTTCTTGGTGGCCAAGGACGTTTTCGAGTTGAAGCCCTCTTCCAGCTCTGCAACAGCTGTTTTGCTCCTGCTCGCCCTTCTGGCCAACTCCAAGACGTTTACCGCCTTCCTCTTGCGGGAGTTCTGTGAGGCTGGCTTGCCGTCCAGACTCAGTTTTGGGACTGCTATCCTCTCCGTCTTGTCCTCCTTGGGCTCTTTCTTGGGGCTCCACATGTTGTACACCGATTTGCATGTCTCGGACGCTATCTTCAAGACCCTGCTCAGTGCAGGAGTGGTGCCAAAGATGCCTCGTTCTGACGCGCCTTCCTTCTGGACGTCGTCCCCCATGGCGTTTGCAGGAACCTTCATGCCGGGCTCGAACTTTATGGGCGGCTCTCTGTCTACCAGGGTGGTTCGATGTAGTCATCCAAAGCTGCTGCTCAGTCCTGCGCTTGGGCTCAGGTGGCTGCCCACATCGTTGTGAAGGGGTCTGCCGAACACTTCCCCCATTGAGACACTTGGTCCCTCCGTCTGGCCTTCGTCGCCTTGAGCACCACGACCTCGGCTTCTACCAAAAACATCGCTCATAGTCACCCTTGATTGGTTCGCCTCGAGGGGTTCCTGCGGTTCACCAGGGTCGTCAAACCCCTGGCTGGCACTGCTTGGTCCGCCCCTCCTTGGCTCGACTGACGTTGTCGCGGGCACTCGGAGTAGTCTCGTAATAGACACCCCGGATGCATTGCTTCCCATGCCCATACCCTCCCGGCGTTGACCCTCGTGCAGGGGTCGAAAGGGCAAGTTTGCCTGCGTCTGCAGCATCTCAGACAGGCCCAAGCCAAGGCTGTCGCGTGGCAGACGAGCCCTGTCAGGGCCAGCCATTGGATGAGCAAGCCGAGCAGGGTGTCAGGGGGCATGTTGAGCCAGTGCTGAGGAAAAAACTTAAGTAATGTGATGGCATGTGGAAAACACGGACGTCCTTACCTTTTACTTGGGTCAAGACGGTAACACAGGGGGCTGCAGCTATTTTCAACCAAGCCAAGACATCCAGGGTCCTGTCGGGTCTGTGTCTTCCGACTTGCCCCATATAGGTCCGGACGGCGGCCTGGCGTCGGTAAGGGATAGAAGTCATCGTCCCTGACAACACTCGCCGAGATGGTTCCTTCGCCAATCTCGGGTGGTCTGGTGGACTTCCCCCACGTCGACGGCCGGCTCAAATAGTCTGCAACCTTGTTTGCCACGCCGGGGATGTGCTGGAGCTTGGCATCCTCAATCCTGTGACGCTCCAACAGCACACCCAACACGGCGCCGCAGAAGTTCTGGGCGGCTGAGGCCCCTGACTTCTTCTGGGTGGTGGCCAAAGCTGTCACCGAGTCCGATTGGATGGTGATCTGCACGTTCATGCCTGCCAGCTTGGCCCCCCAGTGGTGCAAGGCCATGATGATGGCTAAGGCCTCGACCACTCCTTGAGAGGAGGAAGTGCCCAGCTCGAAGCCCAGTGCCTTCGCGTCGAACTCCGTGACCGGGGACGCCACTGTGTCAATGACTTGGTCATTGATGACCAGCACCGCGCCCAGTCCTTCCGGGGAAGCATCAGTGATGATGTTCACCTTGGCTTTGTCCCGGGCGGTGAGAGCGATCTTCCTCGATGGCCTGTCCTTCGCCACGTTGAGGTACTGGGTCAAGGCCAAACGAGCACCTTCCAGCCGTTTGACCACGAAGAGGCCGTCCTTGTTCCTTGGGTCTGATCGGCCCTCCCTTCTTGTCGCCTCCTTGCCTGACTTCACCTCGGCCTCCCTGTCCGCCATCACGGCGTAGAAGACCCTCAGGATCCACTTCGTCCTGGGTAGGACCCCCGAAACCCAGGAGAGCTTCCCCGTGACCGTCCGCAGCTCGGCCATGGGCGCCATGCCCCTTCCTTCCCATTCCTTGATCCTCTCCTGCAAGTCGGCAATGAACTTCTCCGGCAGGGTGACCAATATCTCTCTGTCTGAGAGGAGTTTGAATTCTACCCCTGCCCACGTCACTGCAGAGCCCCTTTCACCTTTGCCCACTGAGAGCTTGAAGCCAATCGCAGCCATCGTGTACAAGATGAAGCTCAGGATGACGTTCCTGCGAGCCAGGGTGCCACAACGAGTCATCCAAGTAGGTCTGGTGCTGTGCCTCGTCGTGTGGGAGGCAGGCTTGCAGCAACCTGGATGTCCACGCTGCCATCCTCGACCACAGCAGTGGGGCAGTGCGAAAGCCAAACAACAAGGCCCTGAACAGCAGGTAGCCGTCACCCTCAACGTCAGGGGTCAGCGTGTGCTCAAGTTCCTTCTCGTGCACTGGCAGGTGAGGGAAGGCATCTGCGATGTCAATGAGCGTGAGCTCCCTGGTCCATCTGGTCCTCTGCTCCTCCACGGTGACCTGTTGATGGAGTTTGTGTAAACTCCGTACCATGGCCACCGCATCCATAGCCCTCGGCAGCACGATCTTCTCATGAAGGCGCGCTTTGCTGTTGCCACCGGAGCGCCTGAGGTCTATGATCAACCTCCTCTTGCGGGAGCCGTCTGGCCTCGTTTTGACAATGATGGCCAGCTTGGAGATGGTGCCCTGGGAGAAGTGCTGGTCCACCTGCTCCTTCAAGACCTTCATCACGTACCCAAGGTCCAGAAGCCTCTGTATCTCTTCCTTGGAGTCCTTCATGTTGTCCGCAATGCTGGTGTAGTTGGTGAGTGAGCCCCGTGCTATCTGCAGGCTGGCATCCATCATGACCTCCGGCTCGCCTTCTTTGTCCGATGGGGGGAAGATACCCTTCGGCTTGATGTCGAGGTTGACGCCCAGTGGGGTTCCTCTCTCCACCCCGTCCGCGAGGTCCGTGTCGGGGTCCCCGGACTTGCGGGTCCACGCCCTGATGAGGTCCGCATCCAGTGGGGACTTGTACCTCCATCTTGACTGGAGGTCCACCGTGGGCTTGCCCTGGCTCCCCACCAGCTTGCGTAGTTCGGCCTTCCACCTGTCCACAGTGGGTCTGTCCATCTTGCAGTCGGCGGTGCCATAGGTTGAAGAAACCTCTCCCACGCTGCGAAGACTCTAAGCCCCAAGTTGAGGGAGCCTGGCATTCCTGCCACTGTTTCCGTGGGGTTCCTCATGCCGCCCAAGTAGTTGAGGTTGGATGGGTTGTTACCCTTTGCCTTCGACTCCCTCAGCATGCCGTAGTTGCCACTCCCTCCAATCCATGCTTTTGACTCCTTGGGGTCGTCCTTTTCCGTCTTCACCGGAACCTTCGTCTCCTCGTCATCTTCCGTCTCGTATTCATAGGTGTATTCGTCCTCCTCCTTGGGTCTTGCCTTTGATTTGGAGGTGGCTGTGCTTTCGGCTTTTGCCTGCTCTGCCTCCTCCTCTTCGGTCTTGTCCCTAGGCCTCTTGGTGTCCTCTGCCGAAGATCGGGACCTCTCCCGCTTGGTGCTCTTGCGGCGTAGTTCTTCCACCTCCTTCTTCAAGTCTGCTTCCCTCTTGGCGTAGAACTCGGCCGTGGCCAGTCTCCTGAAGTGATGGATGACCAGTTCGGCGTAGGCCTCACACAGCTCGTCGGAGTAATGGCCTGATTCCACTGACCTGGCTTTGCCCACCACTGGAATGTGATCGGCTTTCCCACAGGGGCAGGTTCCGGCTAAGGATCTGATGCCCAGCAAGCTCCCCGCGAACATCTGGGGTTTGAAGGTCCTCTTGCCCAGCTCCACCCTCTGTTGGAAATGACAAGAGGTGAAGGCGACCTTCGTCCAGTCCAGCTTCTCCACCGCGCTGTGTACTTCCGGAAGTTCCCATGCAGAGCAATGTTGGTCGTGGTCTGATGGCGGCGGGTTTTCCACCGTCACTGCGGGCTTGATGACGTCGTCAGGCCTGGAGCTCGACATGACTTCAGCCATCATCAATGATCTGGAGGCATGTAGGGTTCCTTGGTCACATTCCCTCTGAAGCGACACTGAGTTCCCCGGTATCCCATAAGGGTGTGATCTGGAGCGGCATGGACCTGGATAGCCCTCTCTCTCCCGCCACCTCAATCTTGAAAAGGAGGTACATGGGAACCCTGCATGATACCCGTCCCACCTACCCTCACGGGCTTGTTGGAGGAGCTTTGCATAGGGTTGATCTGCCAGTAGATCGGCTCCTCCATTTTCACGGTCATAGCTTTCCACCGTGACCTTCATCTTGTACCTCTTTGCAAGGCTCTCCAACGTAGTGCCCAAGGGGTCGTGGGGACCTGAGTAAAGGTGCAAGAAGAAGAATCTGCGTTTCATCAGGTAGACGTCCAACGTCATGAGCTTTCCGTTGAACTCGGCCTTGTCTTCGTTGTGTTGCCTTCGGCGCCTCCTGGATCTCGACCTCCTTTCGTCGGCATTGTCTTTCTCTCCGCTGCGACTGTCTCGCCTTACTCCTTCCCGACGGTCAGAGTTTGAACCTGCCCACATCCAGAAGGGTGGGTACCACGAGGTACTGTTGTCGTCGGTTCCCATGTCCAGCCATCGTCTTGTTGTGGGGGTTCTGCAACACCAATCCATCTGAAGCTGGGCAATCAACCGTCTTTCTGAGGGCATTGGCATGACGGGTGTCCCACCGAGCCGCACTTGGTGCAGACGTGCGCCCTTGACACCCTTCCTTGGCAGGCGGCACCTGGTGGTAAGCCAGCACAGGCCCCATTGTTGTTGTTCCAGGCATAGCACGCCTGCGGCTTTTCTTTCCCTTTTCCTTTGCCCTTGCTGTCGCCCTTGTTCTTCTTGGCTTCTGTTGGGCCCTCGGCTTCTGCTTGCTTTCGTTTGGCTTCTCTCCTTCTGACATTCCTTGTCCTTCGTGCCGAAGATGGTGTCCCCGCCGTAGATTCCGTGTCCGGCTTGATTGCATTGATGCCCCCTTGAATTGAGGCTGCAGCAACCGCTTCCGCCGGTGTCAGCGGCTTCCCTTTGGATCCATGCGCCAGCCATGCATTCGCCGGCACATGAACCTGCTCTGCCCAGAACGAGCTGTCCTTCACGAGCATCCTGAACAGGCACTCCCAAGGGTTTTCTACTGCCCATCCCATCGGTTCCTTCGTGCCGTTGGCGATGTCCAGGTTTACTGAAACCCTCAGTCTTACCAGGTGCTCCGATCTCCCAAGGTCGTCCGCCGCTACGATGAGGTGCCAGGCCCCTGGGTAAAGTCGATCCAGCTTCTCCACATGGGCCTCGTACGCCACGCACGTCGCCATCGTCAGGATGTCGAGCATGAGCATTGCCGTCCTGTAGGCCCTGAAGCTGGCTCTCCACTGGTCGAATGACCCAGGGCCAGGGATCTCCTTCGTGATGTAGCCGCCCATCACCGGTATGTATGACCGGTACTTCTGTGTCCTGTGGGCCTTCTTGCCGTAGGGCAACCACACCGAGAAGTCTGCGTAGGGGGCTCCACCTGAATTCACCCTCCTCAGCAAAGCAAATATCTGCTCGGTGGAAGGTTCTTCCTGTTCCAGAGGGAGTCCACCAGTCTGGCGTACAAAGTTCTCGAGCCAGCGCTGCTTCTGCTCCTCCGAGGAGATGACAAACTCTGACTCGTCCCCCTGGTCCAGCACTGCTGAAAATTTCATCTTCCGCTCCACCGTTGCCTTCGACGTGTCCGCGGGCTCCATGGTCGGTTGTGTCGCTGTTGGGGCGTCTGCCCAAGGGTCCGGGTCCACCCACAGCCTGAGGTCCAATCCCGCCTCCACGTGTAGCTTCCGCCTCGCAAGACGGTACACCAATCCCACCTGTGCGGCCTGGACTACAGTGAACCATCGTTGCCGCCTCGGTCGTGGCCGCGAGGGCGGCTGGAGGCAAAGCTGCCAACAACCGGTAGTCGCCCCCCGGATCGCCAGCAGCTCTGATGAAGGCATCCCAGACCAGGTCCTCCACCCCATAGAATGCCCTGCAAGCACGTAGCGACGAAAACGGCGCTAGCTCCAAAGGCCAGGCCATGCGCGAGGCCACCCATGAATGCCAAAACAAACAGGGGTGGATGCTTACCAGGGCACTTGAGCCAAAATGGCACCCATGGTAAGCATCCACCCACCAACCCCTTAGCATGCTGAATTGTTCAGCAGGAAATTCCGGGGCTCCATTTCCTTTCCCCAAAACACCAAACTGTTGAAAATGGTCAGGTTCCTCTTCACTACTGAGACCATCAACGGCGCGAGTGCATCATGTTTCTTCCCAAGTGCAGCTGAAGTTCCGGCCACATGCTTTGGCGTGGCTCCCACGCCCATCGTCCAAGCTCCCAGCTGTCTCAGCTGCATCCTGACAAGATCTGAGGCTGATGAGTCATCAAGGCAGATGGGCAATGCATGGCAATGCATTGTTCGTGGCATATCCGCACGAGTTCAACCAAACTTTATATGTCGACACACACTTAGAACATCAAACGGTGTCCAAATGCGCCGGCACACGCACTTAGAACATCGCAAAAATCAAGAAAGCGATGTTCTAAATGTAGAACATCCAAAAACACCTCACTTAGAACATCAACACATATCAACACATAAAACATGCATTTTGACAAAGGAAAACGTGGTCTGATGTTCTAAGTGTCTTCCATATTACGCTTCAGCGTCCCACATCCACCCTCCTCATCTATGGTCCCCCTGTCCTTCCAGCAAATCTTGGCGGATTGATGAATGAAAGCGCATGACTCAGCCGGGAAAAGACATGAAGCAGGCCTGCCAATGTCAGAAGATGCACTGTGCATCTTCCCCGTCTTCTCATCTTCCATCAGTCACGCGGGCTGAATCTAATTCCTACAAGTATCGAGGTGCAGGTGAGCTTTGAGCCAAGCCCCTTGAGAAGGAAAATTGCAAGAAAGCAATGTTGGGGAGGAGGAGTTTCCTGTGACATGATGGAAATAGCATCAACTTCTAATGACATGGTGCATGTGACGCTTGCGAGTTCAACTTCTGATCACTACACCATGTGTTAGTGAAGCCGGTGGTCCACCACGGTTTGCCTGTCCGACTTACCAACACAAAAAGCTTCTGCCCCATCCAGGCAGCCATCTCCACTTCTCCGCGTTGCTCAGGCTCCGGCATCCGACTCGTGTCTCCACTTCCAACTGGCAGCCTCGGAAGGTGAAAGAACGGACACCGACTGTCATGTCAGGTGGGTTTAGATGTGCCCCTAGCTGGAAGCGCGAAGAAAGAGGATGAATTTGTCGGGCTGAGAAGTTGGTGTCGAACATCAAGGATTTTGGACGCAGAAGCCGCAAAAGTGTCACCGGGGCCTCTCTGGAAGGATGTTGCTGGATAGTCTTGGGATTGGCTGCTTGCCCTAAACTCCAGCATTCTCATGGATATATACAGCCATGATGTACCAGCATCCCAAAATTGCGCGCAGAAGGTAAAAGGACAGAATCGCCATAGGAAAAGGAGCATGCCTGTGTCACCAACTTCTCAGCCCTCACCCTTGTCTAATCCCTGCTGCACACACTGCTCGCACGTGGCTCTAAGCACCTTTTCATTTGCCATGGCTCTCTTGGAAAAATGTCTCAATACGTGCTGCAATCAAAGGATGGGCATTCCAAAGCTGCTGGATCATCTCATCCGGCAGGTATCCTGATAGAACCCTCCTACACTGAACACGAAGCCACTGGTAGCAGCTTCTTTCAACGGCCCCTTCTCCGCGACGTTTTGGGAGGTGCCCCACTGCCGTCACAAACATGGACAACTCATTGAACTTCTGCTCCCATCGAGACCGATGGATTCTGGGACCGTCCTTCCACTTCTGGAGCGCGGCTTTGACCGATGGATGGGTTTCTTGTAGCATCTCTTGCTTGCTTGGACTTAATGTAATCGCCCCTCCCTTTACATTTTCCAACCATTGTGCCAGCTTCCCGGACAAGGATGTGATCTGATGACACGTCCTTTTTGGCAATCTTTTGTGTAGCTGCACGTATGCTCTGAGCTCCTGGCATCTTGTCCTGAAACGCCCATCAGGGTCACCCGTCTGCCACCCTGCAGTGCGGCGACGGATAAGAATGGAGGATGCCGATAGCAGTTGCTGAAGCCTGTGCAATGGCAATCTTTGCTGTCTAAAGGCGCTGCCCTGGTTGTCGAGCCATCTCCCCAATGCGTTTTCGTAGTGAGAATCGCACTTGCGCAGTGGGAGCCTGCCATGCTTGTTGGCAAACATCTCCACTTCCTTCAGGCGAGTCTCCCAGTGGTCCTCCCAAGATAGAATCGCAGAGAGCCGACTGTGAATCTCCGCCGTCCATCCTTCCATCATCCCTGCACCAGCATCTGCCAAAGTGCAGTCTGCTACCTGGATCCTGTGCCCTGCGGCTGCACCAACCAGGCGATAATCTGCGATCATCAGCGTGGCCAGAAAGCGTTCCAGTTGGCTACTGAACTGCTGATTGAACATGGGAGATCTGCCGGGCGCTTTCAATTTGAATCGTTGGTGGGACCTCGAAAGAACCGCATCCCCTTTCCTCACAAGTGTTCGTTCTTGATCAAAACTCAACAAACATTTGACTGTGGCAGGCCTGTCAGGCAAAGTTGGATCAGAAGTGCTGGCTTTGGATCGTTCCAAGTATTGATCTTGAAGTTGTTTTTCAAGTGTCTGGATCGACTGGTGCCCATGCAAGCGTCCTATAGATCCACCAGTCTTGTGCAACTCTTCTTGCTGCTTACTGTGCTGCTGACGATCAACTAGAGCTGTTGGGCCGACTTGCCGCTCAGGTTCGTTGCCGCAGCGACGAGGCTTTCGCTCCAGCCCCTTTGCTTCAAATTCCCAGTCTGGTTCACTGCATACTTCATGTCTTCGCTGACCATTTGCGGGAGCGGCTGGATGAACTCCAGTTGCCTTCCTCCTGGTCACTGCAGCAGGCGTGGCAGCGATGCTGATGGCAGCAGGTGACTTAGGGGTGGAAGCCATCTCATCTTCACCAATACCAGATGTTTGTGGGGCTCTTGCCTGCCGGATCTGCCGGCGTGGTTCAACCTGTATAGTTGCAGGTGGCAGCTCACCGCCGTTTTCCTGCAGATTTGGGCTGTGCATTTGAGGGTTGGGGATTTGAAGAGTCTTGGCCTCCCTCGCATTTGGTTGCTCCTCACCTTTGATCTCTTTGTTCCTGGAACCTGTCTGTGGTATGGACGCAGATCTTGAGCTTGGGATTGCCACAGCTGGCAGGACAATGTGTGCCAGGGTCTTGGCCGGGTGGTGGCGCAACACCCGCCCGATGGCTTGAATGATGCTCCTGTAGCTATTTCGGGGTTCCACAAACATGCAGGTGTCCGCATTGGGAATGTTGATCCCTTCTCCCAAAACTTCAACCGTCACAAGCACGTGAACCGGTTTTTGCAAGGACCCGGCAAACTCTTCAATCACCGCTGCTCGCTTCTTTAAAGGTGTCCTGGCATTGATATGCCATGCTGCCAGCCCCAGCTCCCTCAACACCATGCGAAAACGTTTCGCTTCAGCAACAGAATTGCAGTAGGCCAGCACTCGCCTGAATCGTCCAGCCTGCTTCAGCAGCAGATCTGCCAAACAAACGTATGCATGGTGAGCAGTCAAGGCGGGCACAGTGATGTCGTAATCACACAGGATCCCATCTTCAATCGCCTGTCCCATGGTGTATCGGAAGTCCGGTTCATCCTTGTGGGTCGCGGAAAATCGATACAGCTCTGCTGACTGCGGCATTTGAGGCGGCAACGGATGATGCGCCTCATCCACAAAAGTGGAATCAAATTTCAACTTCTTCAGCAAGTGGACCGAATCCGTCACAGCAATGAAACCTTTGGCATTGAAGTCGATCTTCTTGTTGTGGCCCATGCCCACTTTGCAGAAGCCGCGGAAGTCCGAAGCGAACTGGTCCAGCAAGGCTCGTAGAGGCACCGCGACCAAAACCTGAGAATGGCACCGACTGGCACATTGAGAGTTGCTCTTGAGACTCGTTCGCTAGTTTCAGGACGGTTTGTCAGCAAAGAAAATGATCGTCCGCGAATCCGACTCGCAAGTACGAAACATGACCAGGAATGGCAAAGAACAACCATATCAACAAAGCAGAGTAAAATAGATTGAATAGATGCCAAAAACAACAATGACAAGGTATATTAACCGAAACTGAATCGAATCAACTGCCGCAGGCACCCTTCCAGATATATTCGACACCAACTCCTGGATCACCCTCGTCTTCCCAGTGCCACAAGCCATCTCGATGATTCGTGCTCCTTTGGCGCACGCAGCCAGGCAGTCGCGCTGGCATTGCCTCAAGGGTGGCTGCATGCCATTTTCAGCAACGGCAGAAGGAGCTGCAGCACTCAACCTGGCGCCGGTGCTGTGGGGAATGCGTGGATAGATGGAAAGGCTGCCGCTCAACCTAGACCTGCGTATTACCCAGTTTTTCATCCAGGAGAAAACATCTGCACTCACCAAATTGTTCAAAACTGATCCGCATTCGAGTCCCCTCTTCCCTTCCCGATCTCAGCCTCTTCATGGTACAGTTTGTGATGACCCGATGCTCAGCGTCGGAGTTCTGCAGCCGGGCTTTCACCTTCTTGGGCAACCGGCGACTGCTGGTCACCACTGTGCATCTTGGAGCCTGCAGGAGGTGGTGGCACAATGAGATCAAAACGGGCTTAGTGGTGGCTCTGCACAGCATGAACAGGGTCAGGAGTTTCAATTGACGGCATCAATTAACACCACTAAAAAGAATTTCAGATGTGTCCTAGTCCTTGTTGGTGATTTCTTCCCTTAGCATCACGCCCCTTCAGTGCTCACCCCCAATCTCCCTGGCCTTGTAGACCCAGCGTGCCATGCGCAGAAAACGCCTCACCTCCTTGAAGGAAACGGATGCGTTCCAGCAGCCAGCGGCATGCGAACCGTCCAAACTCAGCAAGTCCAGGCCTGGTGGGAAAGTGAGACAAGTGGAGCGCAGGCAAACACGGAAAGACTTAGACGATACTTACGCAAACGGCAGCCGACTATTGGCCACAACTTATCTCAGCTGAGCAGTTGTAGGATGTCGTGGCTATCAATCTTCCACTTTCGCCTGCCAGCCTCGCAATCGACGTGTGCTGTTCTGGCGCTCCCAGAACCACGGAGGCAGCTCCTGCCATCTCACCCGGCTGTAGCTAGACCTATGAATTGCAAATCTGAAAGAATAGACGCCACTTTTTGCAGAAGGGACCTTAAGCCATCACTCCATCATCTACCATCATGCGAATTGCCCAACAACTCCTGAAAGGGCACGGCTTTCAGCTCCAGCGAGGCAGCCCACACCAGCCGCTGCTTCTCTCCTAGATGTGGCCACGTCAGCGCCTCGTGCGCCAAGTTCCGCAGGCGCTGCATGAAGGCCGCGTCGCGCTCGTCAAGGCCTGGGCTCACTGAGAAGAGGAAATGGGGTAGAAAACGTCAGCAGAAATAATGGAAAACAAATGGGGCGGTAAGGGTGATGAAGGTCAATCATGTGAAAACATGAATGAAGTCCATCCAGCAAATCAGGATCAACTACTGTGGCTGGAATGTTGTACAGCGTGCACCCGTCAACCAATTCAAATCAATTCAATCACAAAAGGCAACGCTGTGACAAGGCCCGACACTCTTCCCGGTGGTCAGATCTTCACTACTGGAACTATCAACGGTGCTTGTTTGTCGTACGTCTCCCCAACTGCAGCTGAAGTTCCAGCTGCATGCTTCGACACGGCTCTCATGCCCATTGTCCAAGCTCTGAGCTGCGTCCTGCGGAAACATGTTCAGTCAGATTCATCAGTGAGTCATCAGCGGAGCACGAATGGCGCATCAAATGATGATGCTAGCTGCTAGCACATCCCCATCCGCCCTCATCATCCCACCTGTCCTTCTGGCCGATCTTGGCAGATTGATGAATGACGACGCTTGACTCAGCAGCGCAGGGACAAGAAGCAGCCCTGCCAACGCCAGATGCGCTGGGCGTCTTCTGCCTTTTCTCATTATCTACGCAAAGCATGCGGGCTCAACCCAATTCCTGTCGAAGAAATGCGGTGGATGATGAGCCGCCGCCAGCTTTGAGCCAAGACTCTTGGAGAAAGAGTGCAATATTGAAAAAGAAGAGGATGTCCATGTTACAAACTGGATATTCATTGAACTGAAGCTGCATGACCTCTCTCAGCCATATTGACCAACACAAGGTCCTGAACAGGACTGTGCTGAAGTTACTGGAGATTCTTTAGGCTTCAGTTCACTGGCCCCATTTGCCACCTTCGCCCTCATGATACCATTGGGATGTCACCCTCTGAGAACTTAAGAGTTTCACTGATATGCCTTATCAACGGTCAACATGGAAAGTTTGTGCAGGCTCCATGCAGCCATCTCCACCTCTGCACGTTCCCTGAGGCTCTGACATCCGGCTAATCTCTCCACCTCCCACTGGCAGCCTGGGCCGGCGAAAAAAAATCAGCACTCCCAACAGATCTGTTTAATATCTGCTCCCAATGACGTGCTCACACTGGGACTTTGAAGGGCAAGAGGATGACTTTGGAAAGAATTGGAGGTTGGGCTAGAACATCAAAAAACACTAGGCGCAGCACCTGCGCCTCAATGGAATGATGTTGCTGGGTACTCTTAACAATATTGGTGGAACGTGGCAGAACAGGCTGGCACCGCTTAACTTTTCCATCTGATCAGGGGAATTCACCCCATGCTTTCAACTGCAAGTTGGATAATTACAACAAGAGAACAAACAGAATGACTGCAGCAGCCAGTGGTGTCAAGCTCACTTTGACTATATATAACTAACCCCTCTTTTGTGTGTTGCACAGCAGCAGGTGCGCACGTTCTGCGCCATCTTTTCAGTCTCTAAGCAGATGCATCAATATATGCAGCAATCAGGGGATGAGCATTCCGAAGCCGCTGGGCCATGTCATCCGGCAGGCATCCGACTAGAAGCTTCCGGCACTGAGCAAGAAGCCAGTTGTACCAACGTGTTTCATCCTTCCCGCTTCCCACACTTTTTGGGAGGCGCCCTGTTGCCCCTACAAACCGACAGAGCTGACCAAACTTGTGCTCCCATTGAGGCCGAAGGAGTCGCGGGGCATCCTGCCACTTCTGTAGCTCTGCTTTGACCAAGGGATTCACCTCTTGCAGCATCTTCATCCTGCCAGCGCCTAGTCTGATGTTCCCCGCCCGCAAATTCGCAAACCATTTTGCCAGTTTCCAGGGTGAGGATTCAACCCGATGATTTGGCAAGTCTGGCAGCCTGTGGTGCAGCTGCATGTACTCTCTGAGCTCATTGCATCTCTGCCTGAAACGCTCATGGGCACCACCCATCTGCCACCCTTCAACACGCCGACGGATATGAGGTGAGGATGCCTGCAGCTTCTGAAACCTGTGCAGTGGCAGCTTTTGCTTTTTGAAAGCACCGTTCTGGTTGTGGAGCCATGTGCCCAATACTCTTTCAGAGTGAGAATCGCACTGGCGAAGTGGTAGCCTGCCATGCTGGTCGACAAACGCTTCCAACTCTCTGAAGCGAATCTCCCAATGGTCATCCCCAGATAGAATGACAGAGAGCCGATTGTAAATCTCGGTCGTCCATCCTTCCATCAGCTTTGCATCAGCATCTGACAAAGTGCAGTCTGCTACCTGAATCCTGTGCACTGCGGTTGCACCGACAATGCGATGATCTGCCCGCATTAGCGTGGCCAAGAAGCGCTCCAGTTGGCTACCGAAATGCTGATTGAACTCAGAAGATCGGGTGAAGGCTTTCAATTTGAATCCTTGGTGTCGATTTGTGGGAGCCGTGGCCTGGGTCTGCAGGGTTGGCTCTTCATCCATTTCACTTCGCACATGTCCAATTCTAGGCCTGCCAGGTGTAGCTTGATCCCGCGTGCCCGCGCTGAATCTTTCCAAGCATTTAATTTGAACTTCTTCTTGAGGTGTCTGCGTTTGGTGGTGCCTATGCCCGCTTCCAATAGATCCACAAATCGTTTGCAGCTGTTCTTGCTGACGATCCGTTGTAGCTGATGGACTCACTTGATCATAAATACCACTTCCAAAATTTTGAAATACTCCTGGCCTGCCAGGTGTGGTCGGATCACGCGTACCCAGCTTGTGTCTTTCCAAGTCTTGATCTTGAACTTCTTCATGAGGTGTCTGGGCCAGCTGGTGCCTGCGCACGTTTTTCACAGATCCACACTTTGTTTGCGGATGCTCTTGCTGCACACCGTCTTGCTGACCATCTGTCGTAGCCGATGGACTGACTCGAGCCTCAGGTTCGGCATAGTTGCTGTTGCCTAGCTTTCGTTTCAGCCGGTTTGTGTCAAATTTTGCGTGGTTGCTGCGCACTTTCTCACCCTGCTGGCCGTTTGAATGAATGGCTGAATGAAATGTGTCCCCCTGCCTCCTGGTGGTTGCAGGAAGGGCAGCCAAACTGATTGCAGCATGTGTCTGTAGTTTGGAAACCACCTCATCTTCATTAGTACCAAATGTTTGCAGGTTTCTCGCCTGCAGGTGCTGTTGAACCTGCGAAGTCGGCAGCTCACTTCCTTGACATTTGAGACTGTCAACCTCCCTTGCGTTCAGTTGTTCCTCACCTTCATTCGATTTATTTCCGAAACCCGATGGTGACACAAACGCTGATCTTGAGCTCGGGATCGCCACAGCTGGCAGCACGATGTGCGCCAAAGTCTTGGCAGGGTGGTAACGCAGCACACGCCCGATTGCTTGAATGATGCTCCTGTAGCTATTTCGGGGCTCCACAAACATGCAGGTGTCCGCATTGGGAATGTTGATCCCTTCTCCCAAGACTTCAACAGTGACAAGCACATGAACTGGTTTTTGCAAGGCGCCCGCAAACTCTGCAATCGCAGTTTGCCTTTTTTTCAACGGTGTCTTGCCATTGATATGCCATGCTGCCAGTCCCAGCTCCCTCAACACCATCCGGAAGCGTTTCGCTTCAGCAACAGAGTTGCAATATGCAAGCACTCGCCTGAACCTCCCCACTTGTTTCAGAAGCAAATCTGCCAAGCACACGTACGCATGGTGCGCAGTCAGGGCAGGCACAGCGATGTCGTAATCACACAGGATCCCATCTTCAATCGCCTGTCCCATGGTGTATCGGAAATCCGGTTCATCCTTGTGAGTGGCCGAAAACCGATACAACTCGGTCGATCCGGGCATTTTGGACGGCAACGGATGGTGTGCTTCATCCACAAAAATGGAATCAAACTTCAACTTCTTCAGCAAGTGGACCGAATCCGTTACAGCAATGAAACCTTTGGCATCGAAGTCGATCTTCTTGTTGTGGCCCATACCCACTTTGCAGAAGCCACGGAAGTCCGAAGCGAACTGGTCCAGCAAGGCGCGCGAGGGCACTATGATCAAGACCTGTGAGAGAGAGAGAGAGAGAGAGCAGAGTAATGGAGGCTGACGGGTTGCTAGGAAAGCGCGACAAGTAAAGGAATCATTGCACTGGTGATTGGGCACCTGGTTTCTCTACTCTTGGATAGTAGATGCTATGAATATCTGTGAATCCGGTAGCAAGAAATTTGCTTTTTGGTGCTTCTGCCACAGGTTGTTCGTTTGTTTGCATGATGGACAAAACGTCACACACATACGTGTTTAGTTGATAAATGTTGATAAGGCATTGCCTTTGTGCTGAACTCCTGTGGCATTAGGATTTCATCTTCTCTGATCACTCTCTTCATGCTTGGCGACTTGAATTTGTGAGGCCAGGATTTTCAACACAAAAAAAAGCAGAGATCAACAGGAAAACATAAATTCAATGAGAAGGAAAAGAACATGAGTCCAAACATGCCCGAAGCACCCTTCCTGACACATTCGACAGCAACTCCTTGATCACCCGAGTCTTCCCAGTGCCACAAGCCATCTCGATGACTCGAGCACCCTTGGCGCATGCATCCAGGCAGTCACTCTGACACTGCCTCAATGGTGGCCGCGCGGCACCAGTTCCATCAGGAGCTGCAAAGGGAAGTGCAGCACTCAGCCTGACAAGATGCAAAGGCAGAAAATGGTTGGAGGTAAAGTCTGGCTGCCAATCTTTAATTAAAAGGAAACCGCGTAAGGCGTAAATTTCAAATCCTAAACTGCAATACCCACGTGCCCAACCAATCTAGCAACCTACACTGCAAGCAATCTGTGCAAAAGTTGAGCCTCGTACCAAAGCTAAACATAGTAAGCAACACCTGATCATCCATCAACCCTATTGAACCCAAATTCAAAACCCCTCAATGCATCTCCATCCCCTTCCACACCGCCAACCTCTCCAGCGTACGCATTGTGATGACCCGATGCTCGGCATCGGAGTTCTGGAGCCAGGCTTTGATCTTCTTCGGCAACCAGCGGCTGCTTGTCACCACGGTACATTTCTTCGCCTTGCAGGGTGGAGCTGCAAAGTCTGACATCACACCATGGGTTGCTTCAGCGCAGCATTGACAGAATGGATCAGAATGACTGCAAGTTTCAAGGCAATTTGGGGGAGTCTTCTCCGTTTCATTCAGGATCATGCACATCTGTCGCCCTGCCTTGTGGACCCATCGTGCCATGCGCAGGAAGCGCCTCACTTCCTTGAAGGAAACGGAAGCATTCCAGCAACCAACAGCATGCGAACCGTCCAGACTTAGCAAGTCCAGGCCTGTCTGGCGAATGCAAACAAAACGATTCATAGAAGGAGCAAGCAGAGTGGAACGGTAGAGGTTTGGCTAGCTAGATTGTTAGACAATGACCTTAAAAATCTATCTGAGGAAAAACAAGCCTGCCATTGCTACTACAAATTTGGACAAAGAACAGTTCTCAGCTGCTGCATCTCACCTGCACCATGCAATCCCGGACCTATTCGCCCCAGATTTGGGCAGTCCGTGCCTGGATGTCGCCGTGTGATGTTCTGGCGCTCCCAAAACCACGGAGGCAGCTCCTGCCATCACACTGGAAGCGCCTCCACAACAGCCCTTCAGGCAAAACACCCGAAAATGGAAAAACAGGTTCTTGCATGTTCTTGCCACATCATGTCGAATCATACCATCGCCATCTCATCTTTTTGGCGTGACTGTCTTCTACTTCCATGTCCCCATCACGACACCATAGCTGATCTAAGAGCTCCTGCATGGGCACGGCATTCAGCTCCAGCGCGGCAGCCCAGACCAGCCGTTGCCTCTCCCCCAGATGTGGCCAGCTCAACGCTTCATGCGCCAAGTTCTGCAAGCGCTGCATGAAGGCCTTGTCTCGGTCGTCAAGGCCTGGGCTCATGGAGAGGAGTCTTTGTTCAGAAAGCGACGAAAATCAAATGGGATCATAGGTAAATTAAAACAGTATGGCGAGATACATGTGCCAAGTTGGCAGTACACGGCTGGAATCTGTGCACACTTTGTCAAAACACCAAACTGTTGAAAATGGTCAGGTTCCCCTTCACTACTGAGGCTATCAACAGCGCGAGTTCATCACGTTTCTTCCCAAGTGCGGCTGAAGTTCCGGCCACATGCTTTGGCGTGGCTCTCACGCCCATGGTCCAAGCTCTCAGCTGCATCCTGACGAGATCTAAGGCTGATGAGTCATCAAGGCAGATGGGCAATGCATTGATCGTGGCATATCCTCACAAACTCAACCCAACTATATATGTCGACACACACTTAGAACATCAAACGGTTTCCAAATGCGCCGGCACACACACTTAGAACATCGCAAGAATATGCAAAAATCAAGAAAGGGATGTTCTAAGTGTATCACTTAGAACATCCAAAAACACCTCACTTAGAACATCAACACATATCAAATCATATCAACACATAAAACATGCATTTTGACAAGGGAAAAGGTGGTCTGATGTTCTAAGTGTCTTCTATATAGTGCGCTTCAGCGTCCCACATCCACCCTCCTCATCTATGGCCTTCCTGTCCTTCCAGCAAATCTTGGCGGATTGATGAATGAAAACGCTTGACTCAGCCGAGAAAAGACATGAAGCAGGCCTGCCAATGTCAGAAGATGCACTGGGCATCTTCCCCTTCTTCTCATCTTCCATCAGTCATGCGGGCTGAATCTAATTCCTACAAGTATCGAGGTGCAGGCGAGCTTTGAGCCAAGCCCCTTGAGAAGGAAAATTGAAAGAAAGCAATGTTGAGAGAGGAGGACTTTCATGTGACATGATGGAAATAGCACCAACTTCTAATGACATGGCGCAATTTCATGTGACGCTTGCGAGTTCAACTTCTGATCACTGCAGAATGTGTTAAGTCGGTGGTCCACCAGGGTTTGCCTGTCCGACTTGCCAAATCCATCCAGCCATCTCCACCTCTGCACGTTTCCAGCTCAGGCTCCGGCATCCGACTCGTGTCTCCACCTCCAACTTGCGGCCTTGGAGGGTGAAAGAACGGACACCGACTGTCATGTCAGGTGGGTTTAGATGTGCCCCTAGCTGGAAGCGCGAAGAAAGAGGATGAATTTGTCGGGATGAGAAGTTGGTGTCGAACATCAAGGATTTTGGACGCAGAAGCCGCAAAAGTGTCACCGGGGCCTCTCTGGAAGGATGTTGCTGGATAGTCTTGGGATTGGCAGAACATGACAGAACTGGCTGCTTGCCCTCCCAAAATTGCGCGCAGAATGTAAAAGGACAGAATTGCCATAGGAAAAGGAGCATGCCTGTGTCACCAACTTTGCAGCCCTGACCGTTGTCTAATCCCTGCTGCACACACTGCTCGCACGTGGCTCTAAGATGCTCTCTGATCTGTCTGGACAAATGCGTCAATATGTGCTGCAATCACAGGATGGGCGTTCTGAAGCCTCTGAGTCATCTCATCCGGCAAGTATCCTGATAGAACCCTCTTACACTGAAGACGAAGCCACTGGTAGCAGCGCCTTTCAACGGCCCCTCCTCCACGGCCCTTTGGGAGGCGCCCCACTGCCGTCACAAACATGGACAACACATTGAGCTTCTGCTCCCATCGAGACCGATGGATTCTGGTGGGAGCGTCCTTCCGCTTCTGAAGTGCGGCCTTGACCGATGGATGGGTTTCTTGTAGCATCTCTTGCTTGCTTGGACTTAATCCAATCACCCCTGCCCTTACATTTTCCAACCATTGCGCCAGCTTCCCGGACGAGGATGTGATCTGATGACGCGTCTTTTTTAATCTTTTTGGCAATCTTTTGTGTAGCTGCACGTATGCTCTGAGCGCTTCGCAGTTGCTCCGAAAACGCCCATCAGGGTTGCCAGTTTGCCAGCCTCCAACACGGCGACGGACAAGAATTGAGGATGCCGATAGCAGTTGCTGAAGCCTGTGCAACGGCAATCTTTGCCGTCTAAAAGCGGTGCCCTGGCTGTGGAGCCATCTCCCCAATGTGCTTTCGTAGTGAGAATCGCACTTGTAAACTGCGAGCCTCCCATTTCTGTTGGCAAACATCTCCAACTCTCTGAAGCGAATCTCCCAGCGGTCCTCACGAGATAGAACAGCAGAGAGCCAACTGTAGATCTCCGTCGCCCACCCTTCCGTCATGCTTGCAGCGGCATCGGCCAAAGTGCAGTCTGCTATCTGAATTCTGTGCCCTGCAGCTGCACCAACCAGGCGATGATCTGCGATCATCAGCTTGGCCAGAAAACGTTCCAGCTGGCTGCCAAACTGTTGATCGAACAAGGGAGATCCACTGGACGCACCCAGTTTGAATCTTTGCTGTGTCCTTGATAGAACCGCGGCCCTTTTGATCTCAATTGTTGGCTTTTGATCAAAACCGCTCGACAAACGTTTGACTATGGCAGGCCTCTCAGGTCTAATTGGATCAGAGGTGCCGGCTTTGAGTTGTTCCAAATATTGGTATTGAAGATCTTCTTGAAGTGTCTGGATCGGGATCGACTGGTGCCGATTGGAGCGCCCCATAGATCCACCAGTCTTGTGCAACTCTTCTTGCTGCACGCTGTCTTGCTGACGATCAACTAGAGCTGTTGGACGATCTTGCCACTCAGGTTCGCCATGCTTGCCGCAGTGACGAGGCTTTCGCTCGAGCCCCTTTGCTTCAAATTCCCAGTCTGGTTCACCGCGTACTTCATCTCTTCGCTGACCATTTGCGGGAGCGGCTGGATGAACTCCGGCCGCCTTCCTCCTTTTCACTGCAGCAGGCGTGCCAGCGATGCTCATGGCAGCTGTTGACTTTGGTCTGGAAGCCATCTCCTCCTTACCAATACCAAATGCTTGTTCAACCAGTATAGTTGCAGGTGGCAGCTCATTGCCACTTTCCTGAGGAGTCCGGCTGTGCATTTGAGGATTGGGAATTTGAAGGCTGTCAGCCTCCCTTGCATTCAGTTGCTCCTCACCTTTGATCTCTTTATTTCTGGAACCTGTCTGTGGTATGGAAACTGATCTTGAGCTCGGGATCGCCACAGCTGGCAGGACGATATGTGCCAAAGTTTTGGCCGGGTGGTGGCGCAACACCCGCCCGATGGCTTGAATGATGCTCCTGTAGCTATTTCGGGGCTCCACGAACATGCAGGTGTCCGCATTGGGAATGTTGATCCCTTCTCCCAAAACTTCAACAGTGACCAGCACATGAACCTGTTTCTGCAGGGGCCCGGCAAACTCTTCAATGATAGCTTCTCGTTTCTTTAAAGGTGTCCTTCCATTGATATGCCATGCTGCCAGCCCAAGCTTCCTCAACACCATCCGAAAGCGTTTCGCTTCAGCAACAGAATTGCAGTAGGCCAGCACACGCCTGAACCTCCCAACTTGTTTCAAGAGCAAATCTCCCAAACACACGTATGCATGGTGCGCAGTCAAGGCAGGCACAGTGATGTCGTAATCACACAGGATCCCATCTTCAATCGCCTGTCCCATGGTGTACCGGAAATCCGGCTCATCCTTGTGAGTGGCCGACAACCGATACAACTTCATCGACCCGGGCATTTTGGGTGGCAACGGATGATGCCCCTCATCCACAAAGATGGAGTGAAACTTGATTTTCTGAAGAAAGTGGACGGAATCCGCCACAGCTATGAAACCTCTGGCATCAAAGTCGATCTTCTTGTTGTGGCGCGTGCCCACTTTGCAGAAGCCGGGGAAGTCGGGAGCGAACTGATCTAGCAGGGCACGCAAGGGAACGGTGATCAAAACCTGAGAATGGCACAAAAATGTCACACTGAAGGTTCCCCTTGAGACTCGTTCGCTAGTTTCAGGACGGTTCGTCAGCAAAGAAAATGACATCGACTCGCAATTACGAAACATGACCAGGAAGAGCAAAGAACAACCATATCAACCATGTCAAAACAGATAAAATATAGGGAAAAAAACGCAAGGCATTGGTATTAACCGAAACTAAATTGAATCAATGGCCAAGGGCACCCTTCCGGATATATTCGACACCAACTCCTGGATCACCCTCGTCTTCCCAGTGCCACAAGCCATCTCGACGATTCGAGCACCCTTGGCGCATGCCTCCAAGCAATCGCGCTGACATTGCCTCAAGGGCGGCTGCATGTCATCATTTTCAGCATCCGCAGAAGGAGCTGCAGCACTCAACCTGGCACCGGTGCTTTGGGGAATGCGTGGATAGATGGAAAGGCTACTGCTCAACCTAGACCTGCGTGTCATCCAGTTTTCCATCCAGGAGAAACCATCTGCACTCACCAAATTGTTCAAACTAATCCGCATTCGAGTCTGCAGCTCTTCCCTTCCCGATCTCAGCCTCGTCATGGTACGGTTTGTGATGACCCAATGCTCAGCGTCGGAGTTCTGCAGCCAGGCTTTCACCTTCTTGGGCAACCGGCGACTGCTGGTCACCACTGTGCATCTTGGAGCCTGCAGAAAGCTGGCTGCACACGAACATCAAAACGGGCTTGGTGGTGGCTCTTCACAGCATGAACAGAGTGAGAAGTTTCAAGTCAAAGCTTCACTGACAGAATCAAAATGAATTTCAGATGTGTCCTTGGTGATTTCTTCCCTTCCCTTAGCATCACGCCCCTTCAGTGCTCACCCCAATCTCTCTGGCCTTGTAGACCCAGCGTGCCATGCGCAGGAAGCGCCTCACCTCCTTGAAGGAAACCGATGCGTTCCAGCAGCCAACGGCATGCGAACCGTCCAAACTCAGCAAGTCCAGGCCTGTTGGCACGGTGCGAAACGTGGACAGCGTCCAAACAAACAAAAAGCTTCCGACAAAGGGCAAACGTCAGCCTACAATTGTCTTCAATTGATAGAGCGTTCTGCATGTGAGAGCGTGGCTGACGCGAATAGAAAATGCAGTTGTGGCAGTTCATCTTCTATTGTCTATTTGAACAGGTACTCGCGCCACTCTTGCCTAGCCTGAATGTCGACGTGTGCTGTTCTGGCGCTCCCAGAACCACGGAGGCAGCTCCTGCCATCCCGGCTGTAGCTACACCTATGAACTGCAAATCTGAAAGAATAGACGACACCACTACTCGCAAAGGGGATCTACTTAAGCCATCGCTCCAACCATCCACCAGGCCTACCATCATTGGAATCGCCCAACAGCTCCTGAAAGGGCACGGCGTCCAACTCCAGCGCAGCCGCCCACACCAGCCGCTGCCGCTCACCCAGATGGGACCACGTCAGCGCCTCGTGCGCCAAGTTCCGCAGGCGCTCCATGAAGGCCGCGTCGCGCTCGTCAAGTCCTGATCTCACTGAGAAGAGGAAATCGGGTAGAAAAGGTCCGCAGAAATGATGGAAATCAAATGGGGCGATAAGGGTGATGAAGGCTTCATGAAGGTCAATCATGTGAAAACATGAATGAAGTCCATCCAACAAATCAGGATCGACTACTGTCGCTGGAATGTTGTAACAGCATGCACCCGTCAACCAATTCAATCACAAAAGGCAACGCTGTGGCAAGGCCAGACGCTGTTCCTGGTGGTCAGATCTTCACTACTGGAACTATCAACAGTGCTTGTTTGTCGTACGTCTCCCCAAGTGCAGCTGGAGTTCCAGCTGCATGCTTCGACGCGGCTCTAATGCCCATTGTCCAAGCTCTGACCTGCGTCCTGGAAACATCTTCAGTCAGATCCATCAGTGAGTCATCAGCGGAGCGTGAAGGGTGCATCAAATGATCACTGCAGCACCAAAATGTGATGCTAGCTGCTGGCACATTCCCAATCCGCCCTCATCATCCCAATCCACCTGTCCTTCTGGCCGATCTTGGCGGATTGATGAATGACGACGCTTGACTCAGCAGCGCAGGGACAAGAAGCAGCCCTGCCAACGCCAGATGCGCTGAGCGTCTTCCCCCCTTTCTCATTGTCTACGCATGTCTACGCAAAGCATGCAGGCTCAAACCAATTCCTGTCGAAAAGGCATAGCAGATGATGAGCCATCTCGAGCTTTGAGCAAGACTCGGTGGAGAAAAGAGCAATATTGATATTGAAAAAGAGGATGTCCGTGATGGTCCATGTGACAAAGTGGATGTCTATTGAACTGAAGCTGCATGACCTCTCTCAGCCATATTGACCACACTGAAGATTCTTCTATGTCTTAATTCACTGGCCCTATCTGCCACCACCGCCCTCATGATACCACTGGAATCTGACTCTCTGAGAGCTAAAAAGTTTCATCACTAGCAACGTTCAACATGGAAAGCTTGTGCAAGGTCCACGTAGCCATCTCCACCTCTGCAACTTCACAGCTGAGGCTCTAGCATCCGGCCAATCTCTCCACCTCCCACTGGCAGCCTGGGCAGCGAAAAAAAATCGGCAATGCTAACATAATGTTTAATATCTGCTCCCAATGACATGCTCTGGGACTTTGGAGGGCAAAAGCATGACTTTGGAAAAAATTGGAGAGCAGGACCTGCGCTGGGGCCTCAATGGAATGATGTTGTTGGGTAGTCTTAACAAAATTGTTGGAACATGGCAGAACAGGCTGGCCCTCATGACTGGATTCGTACTTTCTGAGAACTTAGAATTTTTGCTGAGAATCACTCGTTATTGTGTTGGCCCAACCCAACTATCCCCACCTCTGCAGGCTCCCAGCTGAGGCTCTGGCAGCCGATTGGTCTCTCCACCTCCAACTGGTGGCCTGGGAGGGTGAAACAACAAACACCGAAAGCCCTGACAATCGGGCTGAATGTCTGCTCCCAACCACATGCTCAAACTGGGACTTTGAAGGGCAAAAGGATGGAGAACTTTGGAAAGAATTGGAGGCTGGCCTCAAACATCCAAAAAAAAAACTGTCACCAGGCGCAGCATCTGCGCTGGAGCCTCTCGGGAATGATGTTGTTGGATGGTCTTATTAATACTGTTGGCACATGACAGAACAAGCTGGCAGCGCTTAACCGCTTAACTCGTTCTTTGTCTGATCAGGGGAGTTTCACCTAATGCTTTCTGAACTGCATGCTGGATACAAGAAGGGAACAGAACTAGCGCTGCAAGCCTTCATTGGTCAAGCTCACTCACTTTCATCCCAAACCCCTTTCTATTTCGTAGCCCTTGCTCCACGAGCTGCACAACGGAGCGCGTTGATTCTACAGCACAGCTTCATTCACACAGAGCTCCCAATCTAATTATTATATAAACGCATCAATATATGCAGCAATCAGGGGATGAGCGTTCCGAAGCTGCTGCGCCATGTCATCCGGCAAATATCCTGCTAGGAGCTTCCGGCGCTGAATCCCAAGCCATTGGTAGCAACTTTTTTCAGCTTTCACTCCACTGCCTTTTGGGATGCGGCCTGTTGCCAACACAAACCCAGATAGCTGACCAAGCTTCTGCTCCCAGTGAGGCCGAAGGAGTCGCGGCGCATTCTGCCATTTCTGGAGCTCAGCTTTGACCATGGGATCCACCTCTTGCAGCATCTTCATCTTGTCGGGACCTAGTCTGGTTTTTCCTCCGCGCACATGTGCCCACCAGGTCGCCAGTTTCCCGGGGCCTGGCAGCCTGTGGTGCAGCTGCACATACTCCCCGAGCTCAGAGCATCTTTGCCTGAAACGCCCATCGGGGTCACCCGTCTGCCATCCTTTAGCACGCCGGCGAATCAGAGGTAAGGATGCCAACAGCTTCTGAAACCTGTGCAACGGCAGCCTTTGCCTACTGAAAGCAGCACACTGGTTGTTGAGCCATGCTCCCAGTTCTCTTTCAGAATGAGACTCGCGCTGGCGGCGACATGGGAGCTTGCCATGCTCATCAACAAACGCTTCCAAACTCTTCAGTCGAGTCTCCCAGTCATCCTCTGAAGATAGAATCACGGAGAGCCGGCTATAAATCTCCACCGTCCATCCTTGAATCATGCCCGCACCAGCATCGGCCAAAGTGCAGTCTGCTACCTGGATTCTGTGCCCTGCAATTGACCCAACCAGACGATGATCTGCCACCATCAACATGGCCAGAAAGCGTTCCAGTTGGCTACTGAACTGCTGGTCGAACATAGGAGATCCGCCAGATACTTTCAAGTTGAATCCTTGGCGTCGAATGGGAATCGTGGCCCGGCTCTTCTGCATGGCGGGCACTTGATCATCAATGGGACTTCCGAAACCTGCAAAGACTCCTTGCCTGCCAAGTGTAGTTGGGTCACATCTCGCCAGCTTGGATCTTTCCAAGTATTGATCTTGAACTTCTCCTTGAGGTGTCTGCGTTGGGTGGTGCCTATGCCCCCTTTCAATAGATCCCGAAATCGTTTGCAACTGTTCTTGTTGACCGTCTGTCGTAGCTGCTGGACAGACTTGAGCTTCATGTTTATCACAGTTCTCGCTGCCTGGCTTTCGCTTCACCAGGCTTGCGTCAAAATTCTTGTTCCGGTTGCGGCGCCCGTGGTCGATCTGCAGGCCATTTGACTGAATGGCTGGAAATGCGTCCGCCTGCCTCCTGGTGACTGCAGGAGGGGCAGCCACGCTGATTGCAGCAGTTGATGCAGATCTGGAAGCTGCCTCATCTTCACCATTTCCAGCAGTACCAGATGTGCGTAGGTTTTTCGGCTGTCGTTGTTCAACCTGGACAGTTGGTAGCTCACTGTCACTTTCGTGAGGAGTTCGGCTGCGCATTTGAGGTTTATGAATTTGCAGGCCGCCGGCCTCCCTAGCATTCCGTTGCTCCTCACCCTTGCTCTCTGTATTCCTGCAATGAGACTGCGATATGGAAGCTGATCTGGAGTTTGGGATCGCCACTGCTGGCAGGACGATGTGCGCCAAAGTCTTGGCAGGGTGGTGGCGCAACACCCGCCCGATGGCTTGAATGATGCTCCTGTAACTATTCCGTGGCTCAACGAACATGCAGGTGTCGGCATTGGGAATGTTGATCCCTTCTCCCAAAACTTCAACAGTCACAAGCACATGAACCGGTTTTTGCAGGGGCCCGGCAAACTCTTCAATCACGGTTACTCGCTTCTTTAAAGGTGTCCTGGCATTGATGTGCCATGCTGCCAGTCCCAGCTCCCTCAATACCATCCGGAAGCGTTTTGCTTCAGCAACAGAATTGCAGTAGGCCAGCACACGCCTGAAACGTCCAGCCTGTTTCAGAAGCAAATCTGCCAAACAAACGTATGCATGATGAGCAGTCAAGGCAGGCACCGTGATATCGTAATCGCACAAGACTCCATCTTCGATCGCCTGTCCCATGGTGTATCGGAAATCCGGCTCTTCCTTGTAGGTCGCGGAAAATCGATACAGCTCCGCTGACTGCGGTTTTTTTGGTGGCAACGGATGATGCCCCTCGTCCACAAAAATGGAGTGAAACTTGATTTTCTTCAGCAAGTGGACCGAATCCGTGACAGCAATGAAACCTGTGGCATCGAAGTCGATCTTCTTGTTGTGGCCTGTGCCCACTTTGCAGAAGCTGGGGAAGTCAGGAGCGAACTGATCCAGAAGAGCAAGCAGCGGCACCGTGATCAAGACCTGAGAGAGAGGCTAACAAAAGGTGTATGAGATTGGGAAAAGAACGGGAATGGTGGGGAAAACAAGTGGGAGTACTTATTTATGTATCTAGCATACACTCTTGGCAAAATAATGCGAAATTGATGTATTGAATCTGGCTGCAAATACATGTGTTGCTTCCCGCTGCCAAAAGATGTTTGTCCTTTCGCACCTATATAACTTGTATGCGATTATTCAATGCCAGTAGTACCGCACAAGGCGGTGGCGGAAGTTTCAAAAATAGGAAACCTATAGGAGACGTTGGTTGTTGTGAATCACGGATGGCAGAGCGAAGCCACTGACTCCATCTATTTCTCTAGCTGTCTCTCTGACTATTTATCTATCTGTCTGTCTGTCCATCTATCTATGTATCTATCTGTCTGTCTGTCTATCTATCTATCTATCTCTCTATGTATCTATCTATCTCTCTATGTATCGATCTATGTATCTATGTATCTATCGATCTATCTATCTATCTGTCTATCTGTCTAGCCATCCATCTATCTATCTATCTATCTATCCATCCATCCATCCATCGATCTATCGATCTATCTATCTATCTATCCCATCTACCCAGCTGGCCTCTCTCTCTCTCTTTCATCTAACTACCTATCTATCTATCTCTCTATGTATCGATCTATGTATCTATGTATCTATCGATCTATCTATCTGTCTATCTGTCTAGCCATCCATCTATCTATCTATCTATCTATCTATCTCTCTATCTCTCCCTTTCACCTGTCTATCTGTCTAGCTGTCTACCTGTCTATCTGTCTATCTATCTGTCTACCTGTCTATCTGTGGTGCAGTGTCATTCAGTGTAATCTAGTGTAGTGTAATGTAGTGTGGTGTAGTGGAGTGTGCCGGAACTTAGTGTAGTGTAGTGTAATGTAGTGTAGTGTAGTGTAATTTAGTGTAGTGGAGTGTAGTTGCGTAGTTGTAGTTGTAGTTGTAGTGTGATGGAGTGTAGTGTAGTGTAAGGTAGTGAAGTGTAGTGGAAGATAGGTAGTATAGTGTAATGAAGTGTAGTGGAGCGTACTGTAGTGTAGTGTGATGTGATGTAGTGTAGTGTAGCGTAGCGTAGCGTAGTGTAGTGTAGTGTAGTGGAGCGTAGCGTAGTGTAATGTAGTGTGGTGTAGTGTCATTCAGTGTAGTGGAGTGTACTGGAGTGTAGTGTAGTGTAATGTAGTGTAGTGTAGTGAAGCGAAGGGACATCTGAACCTCCACAACTGGTCCGAGGCTGAGGTGTTTTTAACATTTTGACTTCGAAATGTGCTTCGCGCCACACCGGCGTGCACTTTTTCGACATCGCAACTTCCAAAAGTGGTCCGACGCTGAGGTGTTTTGTACATTTTGACTTGGAAATGTGCTTCGCGCCACAACGGCGTGCACTTTTTGGACAGCTCAACTTCCAAAAGTGGTCCGAGGCTGAGGTGCTTTGTACATTTTCACTTCGAAATGTGCTTCGCGCCACAACGGCGACTTTCCTACCTTTTCACAAATCATTGGAAAAACACAGTGAATCGCGACTTTCCTACCTTTTCGCGCATCTTACTCTTTCTCTTCTACTCTTATCTCTTCTAATCTTTCTCTTCTCTCTGCCTCTTTCCTACTCTGCTTTTCATCTGTCCATATTGTCGGAAGTTTGACTTCTAAACTTTCTTCGATTATTCTGCATGAGTTGGTCGGCGAGGCGTATGAGTTTGGGGGAGCAAACTGTTGGATCGAGATTGGATTTCAAAAATGACTGCTGATTCAAAACCTGCATCAAAAATGTCCGAAAATGTCCAAAGCACTCTTCCGGATACGTTGGACACCAACTCCTGGATCACCCGGGTCTTCCCAGTGCCACACGCCATCTCCAGGACTCGAGCACCCTTGGCGCATGCGTCCAGGCAGTTGCGCTGACATTGTCTCAAGGGCGGGACGCCACCAGTTCCATCAGCTGGAGAAGGAAGTCCAGCACTCAGCCTAACAAGATCTCTTGGCACAAAAGGCATCGAGGGCAAAAAGGGCGCTGTCGAAAGTCCGTTTGCTAATGTGCTGCAAGTGGCAAAACTGATACTGTATACTGTACATCCACCACACGGTTCATGCTCCAAGTGGTGGACACGAGGTCTTCTCGGGACAAAGTTCGTCTGAAATTCAATTGCCCGCAATTTCCCAGAATGTCCTTCCCACTCCCAGCCTCTTCATCGTACGGTTTGTGATGAGACAATGCTCGGCATTGGAGTTCCGCAGCCACGCTGTGACCTTCTCGGATAACCGGCGGCTGCTGGTCACCACGGTGCATTTTGGGGCCTGCACGGGCTGGAAAGACAGATACATCACCACGTTTGGATTGAGCGTCAGTGTCATGGCAAACAGGAACATGAAGATAATTACTTCAAATGAAACTGCACATTTAATCCCAAACCCATTAGTGGATAGTGACGGAAGCCACACAGAAAGCCCGATAGAACTGCAGGCGAAACTTTCTTGGCATCAGATCCCTTCACTGGCCACCGGTCACCCTGGCCTTGTAGACCCACCGTGCCATGCGGAGGAAGCGCCTCACCTCCTTGAAGGAGACCGACGTGTTCCAGCAGCCAACGGCATGCGAACCGTCCAAGCTCAGCAAGTTTAGGCCTATACCGGGCAAATGAAAATGAAGAATCATGATGGAAATGCAACGATTCAGTCAAGAAAAGAACGTCTCCAAGAAGAGAAGGAGTCAACGGAGAAAAGTCCAAAGCTTCAGTAGAACGGTTGAGGAAACTGTGAGAGAGAAGAAAAATAGCCAAGAGCTCTGAGCTGCTACATCTCACCCGAAAGAGCCACCATATATTCCCGGCCCTATCTTTGCCAAGGTCTTGCCATGCCTGGATATCGCTGTGTGATGTTTTGGCGTTCCCAGAACCAGGGAGGCAACTCCTGTCATCAAACCACACGCCACTGATTCTGTCACGTTATGTCGAATCATATCAGCCCCATTGATCTAAGAGCTCCTGCATGGGCACTGCATTCAGCTCCAGCGCGGCAGCCCACAGCAGCCGTTGCCTCTCCCCCAGGTGTGGCCAGCTCAACGCTTCGTGTGCCAAGTTCTGCAAGCGCTGCATGAAGGCCTTGTCTCGGTCGTCAAGGCCTGGGCTCACAGAGGAGTCGTCGTTCAGAAAGCGAGGAAAGTCAAATGGGATCAGAGGTAAATGATAAGAATGTGCCAAGTTGGCAGTACACGGCTGGAATCTGCACACACTTTGTCAAAACACCAAACTGTTGAAAGTGGTCAGGTGCCCCTTCACTACTGAGACCGTCAACGGCGCGAGTTCATCATGTTTCTTCCCAAGTGCAGCTGAAGTTCCGGCCACATGCTTTGGCGTGGCTCTCACGCCCATGGTCCAAGCTCCCAGCTGTCTCAGCTGCATCCTGACGAGATCTGAGGCTGATGAGTCATCAAGGCAGATGGGCAATGCATTGATCGTGGCATATCCTCACAAACTCAACCCAAGCTATTGCGCTTCAGCGTCCCACATCCACCCTCCTCATCGATGACCCCCCTGTCCTTCCAGAAAATCTTGGCGGATTGATGAATGAAAATGCTTGGCTCAGCCGAGAAAAGACATGAAGCAGGCCTGCCAATGTCAGAAGCACTGGGCATCTTCCCCGTCTTCTCATCCTCTATCAGTCATGCGGGCTCAATCTAATTCCTACAAGTATCGAGGAGGCCGAGCTTTGAGCCAAGCCCCTTGAGAAGGAAAATTGAAAGAAAGCAATGTTGAGGGAGGAGGACTTTCATGTGACATGATGGAAATAGCACCAACTTCTAATGACATGGTGCAATTTCATGTGACGCTTGCGAGTTCAACATTCTAATCACTGCAGCATTTGTTGGTGAAGTCGGTGGTCCACCACAGTTTGCCTGTCCGACTTGCCAAATTCACCCAGCCATCTCCACCTCTCCGCGTTGCTCAGGCTCCGGCATCCGACTCGTGTCTCCACCTCCAACCGGCAGCCTCGGAAGGTGAAAGAACGGACACCGACTGTCATGTCAGGTGGGTTTTAGATGTGCCCCTAGCTGGAACGCCACGAAGAAAGAGGATGAATTTGTAGGGATGAGAAGTTGGTGTCAAACATCAAAGATTTTGGGCGCAGAAGCCGCAAAAGTGTCACCGGGGCCTCTCTGGAATGATGTTGCTGGATAGTCTTTGGATTGGCAGAACATGACAGAACTGGCTGCTTGCCCTAAACTCCAGCATTATCATGGATGTACCGGCATCCTGCGGCATCCCAAAATTGCGCGCCGAATGTAAAAGGACAGAATTGCCATGGAAAAGGAGCATGCCTGTGTCACCAACTTCTCAGCCCTGACCCTTGTCTAATCCCTGCTGCACACACTGCTCGCACGTGGCTCTAAGCATCTTTTCATTTGCCATGTCTCTCTTGGACAAATGTCTCAATATGTGCTGCAATCAAAGGATGGGCATTCCGAAGCCGCTGGGTCATCTCATCCGGCAGGTATCCTGATAGAACCCTCCAACACTGAACACGAAGCCACTGGTAGCAGCTTCTGTCAAAGTCCTCTCCTCCGCGACTTTTTGGGAGGCGCCCCACTGCCGTCACAAACACGGACAACTCGTTGAGCTTCTGCTCCCATCGAGACCGATCGATTCTGGGAGCGTCCTTCCACTTCTGGAGCGCGGCTTTGACCAATGGATGTGTTTCTTGTAGCATCTCTTGCTTGCTTGTACTTAGTATAATCGACCCATTCCTTACACTTTCCAACCATTGTGCCAGCTTCCAGGACGAGGATGTGATCTGATGACGCGTCCTTTTTGGCAATCTTTTGTGTAGCTGCACGTATGCTCTGAGCGCTTCGCAGTTGCTCCGAAAACGCCCATCAGAGTCGCCAGTTTGCCAGCCTCCAACACGGCGACGGATAAGAATTGAGGATGCCGATAGCAATTTTTGAAATCTGTACGAAAGCAGTCTTTGCTCTCTAAAGGCGGTGTTCTGGCTGTTGAGCCATCTCCCCAATGTGCGTTCATAGGCAGAATCGCGCTCGCGAACTGGGAGCCTCCCATTTCTGTTGGCAAACATCTCCACTTCCTTCAAGCGAGTCTCCCAGTGGTCCTCACGAGATAGAACTGCAGAGAGCCAACTGTAGATCTCTGTCGCCCACCCTTCCGTGATGCTTGCAGCGGCATCGGCCAAAGTGCAGTCTACTACCTGAATTCTGTGCCCTGCAGCTGCACCAACCAGGCGGTGATCTGCGATCATCAGCGTGGCCAGAAAACGTTCCAATTGGCTACCGAAATGCTGATCGCACATGGCAGATCCGCCAGATGCTTTCACTTTGAATCGTTGGTGGGACCTCGAAAGAATCGCACCCCCTTTCCTCACAAGTGTTCGTTCTTGATCAAACCTCGACAAACATTTGACTATGACAGGCCTCTCAGGTTTAATTGGATCAGAGGTACTGGCTTGGAATCGTTCCAAGTATTCATGTTGAAGTTGTTTTTCAAGTGTCTGGATCGACTTGTGCCCATGCAAGCGTCGCATAGATCCACCAGTCTTGTGCAAATAACCTTGCTGCACGCTGTCTTGCTGACGATCAACTAGAGCTGTTGGACCGACTTGCCGCTCAGGTTCGTTGCCGCAGTGACGAGGCTTTCGCTCGAGCCCCTTTGCTTCAAATTCCCAGTCTGGTTCGCTGCGTACTTCATCTCTTCGCTGATCATGTGTGGGAGTTGCTGGATGAACTCCGGACGCCTTCCTTTTCACTGCAGCAGGCGTGCCAGCGATAATGATTGCAGCAGGTGACTTAGTTGTGGAAGCCATCTCCTCCTTACCACCAGATGTTTGTGGGGTTCTTGCCTGCCAGCGTTGTTCAACCTGCACAGTTGCAGGCGGCAGCTCACAGTCACTTTCCGGAGGAGTTCGGCTTTGCAATTGAGGTTTGTGGATGTGAAGGCTGTTGGCCTCTCTGGCATTTGGTTGCTCCGCACCTTCGATCGGTTTAGTTCCGAAACTTGATAGTGACACGGACGCTGATCTTGAGTTGGGGATTGCTACAGCTGGCAGGACGATATGTGCCAAAGTTTTGGCCGGGTGGTGGCGCAACACCCGCCCGATGGCTTGAATGATGCTCCTGTAGCTACTTCGGGGCTCCACAAACATGCAGGTGTCCGCGTTGGGAATGTTGATCCCTTCTCCCAAAACTTCCACAGTCACAAGCACGTGAACCGGTTTTTGCAATGGCCCAGCGAACTCTGCAATCACACTTTCTCGTTTTTTCGAAGGTGTCTTGCCATTGATATGCCATGCCGCCAGCCCCAGCTTCCTCAACACCATCCGGAAGCGTTTCGCTTCAGCAACAGAATTGCAATAGGCAAGCACCCGCCTGAACCTCCCCACTTGTTTCAGAAGCAGATCTGCCAAGCACACGTATGCATGGTGAGCTGTCAGGGCAGGAACCGTGATGTCGTAATCGCACAAGACCCCATCGTCAATCGCCTGTCCCATGGTGTATCGGAAATCTGGCTGGTCCTTGTGAGTGGCGGACAAGCGGTACAACTCGGTCGACCGGGGCATTTTGGGTGGCAACGGATGATGCCCCTCGTCCACAAAGACGGAATCAAACTTCAACTTCTTCAGCAAGTGGACCGAATCTGTCACAGCCAGGAACCCCTTGGCATCCAAGTCGATCTTCTTGTTGTGGCCAGTGCCCACTTTGCAGAAGCTGGGGAAATCGGGAGCAAACTGGTCGAGCAGGGCACGCAAGGGCACCGTGATCAAAACCTGGGGATGATGGCTCGGACTGGCACAGAAGCAGTTGTCCTGCTGAGAGTACTTTCAAGGTTGGCTTCTGGATATCAATACAGTATGCAGTATGCACGCAAATATGTATGTTATTCTGCGGCTATCAGTTGCGAAGCATGTCCAGGAATCGCTATGATCAAGAGTCAAACTAGATAGAGTCAGATAGAGGCAAATAAGTCAACATTAAAGGACCGGATAACCCCACATGTTACCAACTTCTTTAGACTTAGACTGAGCAGAGAAAGCGAGAAGGGAAGAGGAAGTATGAGAGTGATGGAGGGACGATGGTGGTATGTAGGTAGGTATGTATGTAGGTAGGTGAGTTTGTGTGTGTGTATGTATGTTCAAGTACAGTGAGTGAGTGAGTGAGTGAGTGAGGGAGGGAGGGAGGGAGGGAGTGAGTGAGGGAGTGAGTAGAGGGATTGAGTGAGTGAGTGAGTGAGTGAGTGAGTGAGTGAGTGAGTGAGTGAGTGAGTGTGGTGATGTGAGAGCTATCTATCTCTCCATCTATCCATCCATCCATCCATCCATCGATCTTTGTGTGTATGTGTGTGACTGAGAGTGTCAGTGAGTGAGTGAGTAAGTGACTGAGTGAGTGTGAGTGAGTGAGAGTGAGCGCGTAAGGGAGTGTGAGTGAGTGAGTGAGTGAGTGAGTGAGTGAGTGAGTGAGTGAGTGAGTGAGTGAGTGA